CCCTTCCCTTTTCTCGCCGATTTCGTGCCAGGCGACGCACGATCCGGCGCAATTCTGCATTTCAGCCCATCTCGCACCTACCGTAAATTTCATTCGCCCGGGCTCGAATAAGAAGTTTTCCGGTTACTTTTTGCACTGCATCGTCTCCTGCTCCCTTAATATCTAGGAATTACGAAGCTTCCTCCGCACGCCTCCATACCCGCTTCGCGTTTTATTTATAATTAAACCACCCTCGACCGACCGCCCTCTAATTCTCTCTTTAACTTGCCCCGTTAATTCGCGATTTACACGCGCGTAATTGGTCGTACCGTAATAAGTCGACATTATCGCGATTATTACTATTATCGTTGCCAGCGCCTGCACGAGCAGGAAAGTAATTAACCGACAAGCCGTTCAACCTGTTAATTTTAACTGATTACGACGCGCGAGCGTACGCGTAACAACGGGTTATAAATAAATTGATTTTCTACGTAATCGAACGGGCTCTGTCCGTCGACTACGCGATTTTATCGTCTCTCTGTGCTCGATTCGCCAGCCATGCATTAATTACGCCACGACCGTCGCTGCCATTCTACGACCGGTTAACGCGATCTCGCTCCTGAGACCCTCTAACGCCGAACAGGAAACGCAGAGGAAGTCCCTGTACGGCCCCTCGTCTCGCCTTCGACTTTTTCCCGACACCTCGATACGCGGAAATTATTTTCCACTCGACGGGAGAGAGTTATTCGCCAAACGGAAATAAGACGAGACGCTTTTTCCAATTACCACGATTCAATGGCGGCCAGTCCTGAATCGCGAAACTTCGCTGAATTAATTCCGAATAACGATCGCGCGCGCGCGCCCGGGAGAAAAATGGTGGAAAAGCGGAGGGAAAATAGCTGGTTTCCGAACGAGCGGGTTCCAACCGCGACAATACCGTAAATGCAATTATCGGAAAAATTCGTGTCCCGTTTGAAAAAGCGCGCGAAAGTAATGCCGTGATCGGACCCGGCTGAACGTAGAACCGAAAGTCGACGATTTGCATTTTTGCCTTTAAAGCGAGCACGAGTCGATCCCCCGTGGTTTTTCCCATTTCGTCGCCTTTTTGTCTCCGTTTTTCCACGATAACGTTCCATTCGATTAATTCGAACGGCGAACCTGCCTGTCAGGGGAGTGCAGCCGAACTTTTTATCATCTGCCGCTGTTCACAGCCCACGCGCGAGGCCCAGGTCCAAAGGATTTTCCTAAATCGAGATCGTAAAATAGCAAGCTCGCGATAAATTTCTTCGCGCGTGCAGCGCGTTAGGTCGACCACGAACGCTCGATTTATCGAAATGCTGCTCGACCGTGACCCTACCATATGCCACGATACTTCGCGTACGAGCCCACCCTTTGTTCTCCCTCGAGCCACGAAGGGGTGGCGATAAACGTCGCACTGACTCGTATTTCTGGGCCGCAATTCTCGCATAACAGCTGCAGCAACGTAGCAGCAGCAGTCGCGGCAAGTAATATGTAGGAGAGTGATAAAAAGAAATAAAAGAGTATAAAGAGGAAAATAGGGAAAAAATTCGTGTTACTCACGTTCTCCTCGACGGTCTTCTTGATCTTCGCTCCAGCCTCCACCACGGTCTTTCCAGCCTTGTTCACGGCGCTGTACAAAAATCCGCCCAGGGTCTTAGCACCTGCCAGTGCTTTCGTTGAGACTGCAGCAGAGAGAAGAGAAAATAATGAGCGACGGTGATACGTTATCCGGCCGGGTGGAATTTAATGGTCGACGGAAAAACGTCCGGTAGAGCAGAGACGCGAGCAGGTTGCACCCGCTGTCACCTTGCCGCGCAAACGAGGTACAAACTCGAGAAACCCGAATACGTCGCACGAATTTTTCGCCCTCGGAGATTCTGGCGTTTATCCGCGGGGCCCGGCGAGGATTAAGCACCCCGGCGAGTTGGGCCACGTTGGCCGATTGGGGATATTATTTCGCGAGGTGGAACGGGGATAAAGCAGATAAAGGGATGTAAGGAGATACCGCGGTAAGAATAAAATTCTCCCTATTCCTCCTTTTCCTCGTTTCCTTCCATTATTTCTACGATCGGGGGACGAGGAAAGGGGACGGGAGTTATTAAGCTACCCGTTAAGCTTTTCACTCGAAGCCAAGAGGAAATATCGAGGATAGAATCGGGCAGCGTGTTTGTCGAATAAATCGCTTCCTTGTTGATAGATTAAACGAAGCTTTTAAAAGCTTCAATAACGATAATGTACACTGCTCTGTTCTTTATTAATCAAACCGAAACGCGTATCGCGTTTCATCGAAATGTGGAATTATTAGGTTTGTTTTGCAAGTTAATTTCTAGCCGTGAACGGCTATCGTATAACCCCTGTGAGCGAGCCAATCATTCCCCGGTAATTAAATATACGGGAAAAACTGCGTTAAATATCGGATATCGCCAGGAATCCGTTTATTCGCTTCGTAAATCATCCATCAGTTATACGGCAGACATTTTCCCGGGATCGCGGTGAACGGTAGCCAGTTGCTAATTAGCAGCCGTTGCTTGACAGATTCGGACAGCGACATCGAGTCGGCCTTTGTGTCCGGGCTAAAGGACGCGTCTCCGAATATCAACCCCTATTTACTACGCGTCGAGTCGATTCGTGGAATGACTTTGAACGATCGTGATTAACGCTGGTCATTGCCTTCGAGAGATTAACATTCGCAAGTCACAGCAATTTTGACGCGTTGCCAATCCATTCGGTTCCAATTTCCATCCTTGAACGGTACCCTCTGTCGTTACTCTCAATTGCGATTCACGATATTTAACTCGTCTCGAGAAAGTAAAGATCGTTCGATACGAAGTAGCCAAGTTTGACAGCGAGTGATACTCCTTTCGTATCTTTCAACGCCATTCCGAATTAAGCTTCGCGATAAATCAATCGCGATAAGGCGAGAGGTGATTCAACGCGAATTAATTAATTTCGACGATGAATTCCTGCCGATCATTGTTTACAAACTGTCAACGTATTATCGTGTCTCCAATGAGTGAGTTTAATCTCAGTTTTTAGCTCAAGGTGATGTCTTCTAAGGTAACTCTCTGTTGCGATTAAAGAATCTCGATTTATAACGGTTAAAAATTCGCGAGGAGATTGTTCGACGCGAATTAGCGAACTCTGAAACACACGCGTTTTATCGCACCTTTGTCGACAACCCCCCGGAGACGAAATTTCCTTGCAGCGGAATAGTCGGGAGCCTGGCATGCAAATTGCCAGCTGACGGAATAGATGACGGTACGTAGGATCGTATTACCCTACTCTGCGGGTCACCCTGGAGATCTGGGAACACGCTCTGTCGGTGCAGTTCTTCTTTCAGCCGGTTTATTCCCGCGACTAGGCGAAACTCGCGAGCACGACGCACAGTGGGGATTATGGCCAAAAAGCTGGGCAAAATTGAATTTTCCAAGTGCGAAACTGCGTCTTGCCACTATGCCACGTTTGTTATACACGTTTTTTTGCATCGAACGTAGCATGAAATTTTGAAATGTGATTATCAATCACCGAGATGTAGGTCATCAAAGTTGGCGAAATTTTGGGGCCCTATATGTCTTAACCACTTGCGGTGGCAAGGAATTCATAGACGCGTGTGCCAGAACGGTCCAGTGTTTCTGTGACAATTGCCTAACGACGTGTGTACCACGTCATTGGTGATTCTGTGACAAAGGCATTACGATATATATTAAATATATGTTCTTAATATAAATGTGTATATATATATCCTAAAAGTATACGGACAGTCATAATTTGAAAGAAGTTCATAAATTATTATATTTATCGTGAATAAGAAATTAATATTGTTAACAAATTGTTCACAAGGTAAATTTACAATAAAAGTGAAAAAGTTAATAAATTATTAGCTATTGTTTGAACTTATAGCGTACCTGTGTTAAAATGTACTAATAATTTGCAAAAAATATTATAAATTATAATATTTATTGTTAATAACAAATTGTTCATAACGTATATTTGTAATAAAAGTGAAAAAATTAATAAATTATTGGTTATGAGAACGGAAAATTAATAATTAATAAAATCGAGGAAGTTCGAAAATTTCTGATCGAGGTGGGGGGGATAGGCCGACCGACGGCTATATAAGGGGCGACGCAGCAGTGGTCAGGTCATTTGCCGGTTTGACTTCGGAAGTGTAACATCTAAATTATTTCGTGCGCGGAAGGGGTGGACGACCGAAGTGAGGTTGGGGCTGGCCACCCCACCTTCACTCCACCCCATTAAACAATTTAATAATAATTTCTTTTTTGTTTACAGCTATTAATTTTTCTTTTTTTCAGCCATTAATTATTTTTTCTTTTTTCAGATTTTAACTGTTTTTTTTTCCCCTCAGATAATATTTTTTCGTTTCTATTTAGTTTTATCTGATAATTTCTGAATATTTCGTATAATATTCTTATATCTCATCGATGGATTGTTTATATCTCATCATTTGGTTGTTCATGTCTCATAGGTAGTCGATAGCCAATGTCCCCCCTCCCCCCCCCCCCCCAATAATTTAATAATTATTTTCTCAGATTTAAATTATTTTTCTCTTCCAGATTTTAATTATTTCACTTCCTACAGGTTTTAATTATTTTATTTCTTTCAGATTCTAATTATTTTCCAGGTTCTAATTACGTTTCGTCTTACAAGTTTTAACCCTTTGCACTCGACGATTTTGACATTAGAAAAAAAAAGCAATTCAAAGACTTTCTACCCTATGGTCGAGAATATTGTTAAAACGATAAATAAGAAATCGTATGGAAATTAAAACGTAGAATTATTTTACTTCAACGTTCCACGCGTCAGTGGATAATTTTAAATATAATATATTAATTAACATCGATCTATAGAATCTGATTAAATGGCGATCGACAGTCGCCTCTCGAGTGCAAAGGGTTAACTATTTTTCTTCTTCCAAGTTTTAATTATTTATTTTCTTCCAGATTTTAATTATTTATTTTTTTCTAGGTTCTAATTATTTGTTTCCTTCCACGTTTTAATTACTAATTTTTTTCTAGGTTCTAATTATTTATATTCTTCCAAGTTTTAATTATTTATATTCTTCCAGGTTTTAATTATTTATTTTCTTCCAGGTTTTAACTATTTATTTTTTTCTAGGTTCTAATTATTTATTTCCTTCCACGTTTTAGTTATTTATTTTTTTCTAGGTTCTATATATTTATTTTATTCCAGGTTTTAATTATTTATATTCTTCCAGGTTTTAATTATTTATATTCTTCCAGGTTTTAATTATTTATATTCTTCCAGGCTTTAATTATTTATTTCCTTCCAGGTTTTAACTAGTTATTTTTTCTAGATTCTAATTATTCACCTTCTTCCAGGTTTTAATTATTTATTTTTTCCTAGGTTCTATATATTTATTTTCTTCCAGGTTTTCATTATTTAAATTCTTCCAGGTTTTAATTATTTATTTTCTTCCAAGTTTTGATTATTTTTCTTTTTGCAGATTTTTGTTATTTATTTTCTTCCAGGCTTTAATTATTTATTTCCTTCCAGGTTTTAACTAGTTATTTTTTCTAGATTCTAATTATTCACCTTCTTCCAGGTTTTAATTACTTATTTTTTACTAGGTTATACATATTTATTTTCTTCCAGGCTTTGATTATTTATTTTCTTCCAGGCTTTGATTATTTATTTTCTTCCAGGCTTTAATTATTTATTTTCTTCCAGGTTTTAATTATTTATTTTTTTCTAGGTTCTAATTATTTATTTTCTTCCAGGTTTTAATTATTTATTTTTTTCTAGGTTCTAATTATTTATTTCCTTCCACGTTTTAGTTATTTATTTTTTTCTAGGTTCTATATATTTATTTTATTCCAGGTTTTAATTATTTATATTCTTCCAGGTTTTAATTATTTATATTCTTCCAGGCTTTAATTATTTATTTCCTTCCAGGTTTTAACTCATTATTTTTTCTAGATTCTAATTATTCACCTTCTTCCAGGTTTTAATTATTTATTTTTTCCTAGGTTCTATATATTTATTTTCTTCCAGGTTTTAATTATTGAAATTCTTCCAGGTTTTAATTATTTATTTCCTTCCAGGTTTTAATTACTTATTTTTTCCTAGGTTATATATATTTATTTTCTTCCAGGCTTTGATTATTTATTTTCTTCCAGGCTTTGATTATTTATTTTCTTCCAGGCTTTAATTATTTATTTTCTTCCAGGCTTTAATTATTTTGCTTTTTCCATTTTTTAATTATTTTTCTACCGTTAGGTTTTAATTATTTTTGTCCCCACGTTTTTTTTATGTTTTACTAATCTCTTACTAATCTATTTCTTTCCAGCATTTCAGGTTTTTCAAAACATCGTTGGACGACGCGGGATGCGTGCGTTTAGACCTAAGTAGACCTAAGTAGTTCTAAGATAGATGCCTAGACTAAGTCCCATGTGCGCGCTATCAGTACAAAGGTAACCTACCTAACTTGGAGCGAAATACATAAATTCTCTACCTTCTTCCCCTTACCCCTCTCGTTTACCAATAGAACAAAATTGTTCTCGCGATAATCGCGATTGTTCGATAGTATCGGCAAGCCTATGTAACGTACTCCCTTGTACTCGACATACTTCATGCTTCATAAGTCATTCTCACGGCTCGTTTCCGACACTCATTTCCAGTCACTGTCAGTCTCGACATGCGT